GAGTCCGACTCTTCGTGACCCCATGGACCAGATCACGCCAGGCCCTCCTGTCTTCCGCTGTCCTTTGAAGTTAGCTCAACTTCATGTTAGTTGCATCTATGACACTGTCTAACCATCTCATCCTTTGCCGTCCTCGTCTTCTTTGACCTTCAATCTTTCCCAGCATCAGGGTCTTCTCCAGGGAGTGCTCCCTTCTCATTGGGTGGCCAAAGTATTTGAGCTTCAGTTTCATTATCTGGCCTTCCAGGGAACAGTCAGGGTTGATTTCTTTTAGGATTGACTGATTCGATCTCCTTGCAGTCCAAGGGACTCTCAAGAGTCTTCTCCAGCACCATAGTTCAATTACTTCAATTTAATCCAAAAGCACTGTTCTCACACTGCTGAGTAAACTTATGCCTGGGCTATATCCCTCTGGCCTGCTGATAGGAGATCACATGATGGACTGTCCCCCCCCCATGCTAAAAGAAAAACTCCCTGCATGTAGAAGGTAGCTCATCAGGTCTCCATAGGCTAGAATACTTCTCCCTGACATGTTTTGGCTACGGACCATGTCCTGCCGTTTTGTTCTTGACATGACCTTTGAAACAGATTCCGCTTGCTGGGAATTGTTTTTTTAGCAACGTGCCATCTCTAAGCATGTTCTTTGGCTGCGTTCTCTCCACCCTTCCTCATCATGTGGATGACATGGAGGGCTAATTTACTTGTCTGAAGCCTTTTCTTCTAGTATAATTCATGCTGACTTAATAATGCCAGAGTTGAAGCTCAAGGTCAGAGCGTGGGAGATCTTTTGCTGCTGGTCAGACTGGTCAAATGCAACCAATTTGGACAGACAGGGACCCAATTATTCCCCTCTCCCTTTACCTCAGCCCTTATCCTTCCTTTTCGCAAACCACAAAGTAGTCAGACGTGAAAAAACTGTTGGCTTCTCTAAGCTGTCCTAGCAAGAAATGAAAAATGGAACCAACCCCTGTTCCAGACAATTTCACCGCAAGCTCCTGCGCTTTGAGCTTTTCTAAAAGGATTAGACTGGTGAGGGTCAGCTGTCAGCAAGGCTTAATTGGAAGGCGGGTCAATAATGGGATAAACTTCTGGGCCCCGTTTCCAGCTGCCAGGAATCAATATGGAGAAATAATGACTGAGAGAATGATTTTGAGCATGTGCAGCGGGGAGAGGGTGTTGGCATGATAGGAATGGCCTTTCTGGGTCAGATGAAGGGTATATCTAGCCCAAGATTCTTGCAGTAGTGGCTGGCCAAAAGCCCGCACAGTGAGGTCAGGGAGTGTTTCAAAGAAAAGGTGGGTTTAGAGCAAGACCCTTCAGGAAGAAGATGATGAAGAAAATGAAGAAGATGAAGAAGATGAAGAAGATGAAGAAGATGAAGAAGATGAAGAAGAAGAAGAAGAAGAAGAAGAAGAAGAAGAAGACATAGCTTACAAACTCCTTTCATTCCTTTCCCCACAACAGACACCCTGTGAGGTGGGGCAGAGAGAGCTCTGAGACAACTGCTCTTGAGAGAACAGCTCTGAGAGAACTGAGACTGCCCCAAAGCCACCCAGTTGGCTGCATGTGGAGGAGGAGTGGGGAATCAAACCTGGTTCTCCTGATTAGAGTCCACTGCTCTTAATTACTACACCAAACCACTAACCGCTACACCAAACTGTATAGAGAGTCTCTATACCTTCTGGCCACCCTACAACCAAGCTGGTGCCAGATGTACTTATCTAGGGTTGCCACTCCAGGTTGGGAAATTCCTGGAGATTTGGGAGGGGAGCCTGGAGAAGGTGGGGTTTGGGGGCCCGGAGAGCTCCCAGAATTACAACTGTATCTCCAGACTGCAAAGATCAGTT